AATCCAAAAGGATTGGCCTTTGTTGGCGGCGCAAAGCGAATTTTCCTTCACCACTGTGGTGACGCTTTCGCAGAGCCCTTGGCGCCTGCAAACTCTGAGATGGTGAAGCTACAGCAAAAACTAGGTGACACAAGACGCTACAACAGGACTCCTTGGTAATTACAGCCATTGCGGCTACCGGGTGACTTGTTTTCAAGTTTTGTCGGGCAGCAAGTCGTTTCAGCGTGTTTCGGCACAAACCGTACACGAAATCAGCAACAGTTCAAACACTGCTTTAAAATACAGGTATACATTGATTCCTCCGTAGAAGCGTTAACATTAGAATTTGAGAATCAGGGCAGGAAGGTAGCAAGATTGCCTTTGGGTGTTATTTTGTAAGTTTTCTCTACGAAAGCATGTTTTTTGCGTTGTTTCAAGGACATTTGAAGTTTTCTTCTATTGATGCATGTGTTTTTTTATGATTCGACGTGACATAATCCACCTGACACCCATGTTGTGCTCTGTAGCTGCACAGTGAACCGACGAAACGTGGGGGGCGGCGTATTCTTATCAACCAAAAACATCAAAATTATCAAAAATCAAGGATTTGATTGATTTTTAGTGTCCCCGTTGAATCCCCGTTGAGTTCCCATTTAGTCCCCATTGAATCCGCGTTGAATCCCCATTTAGTCCCCGTTGAATCCCCATTACGTCCCCGTTGAATCCCTTTGAGTACCGGTTGAATCCCCGTTGAGTCCCCCCGTTGAGTCCCCGGTGAATCCCCGTTGAGTCGCCGAGTCGCCGTTGAGTCCCCGTTGAATCCCCGTTGAATCCCCGCTGAGTTCCCGTTCAATCCCCGATGAGTCCCCGTTGAGTCCCCGTTGAGTCCCCGTTGAATCCCCGATGAGTCGCCGTTGAGTTGCCGTTGAATCCCCGTTGAGTTTCCGTTGAGTCCCCGTTGAGTTTCCGTTGAATCCCCGTTGAGTCCCCGTTGAATCCCCGATGAGTCCCGTCGAGTCCCCGTTGAGTCCCCGTTGAATCCCCGTTGAGTCCCCGCTGAATCCCCGATGAGTTCCCGTTGAGTCCCCGTTGAGTCCCCGTTGAATCCCCGTGAACCTGCCTTTACATCTTAAGTAAGGACCTTGTCATATCGAATTCCGCGTAAGCAAAATTCTGGGTTGCGTAAGATTGCGTAAGCATTTCGCGAAAGCATTTCGGAAGTTTGCTCTGCGTAAGCAAAAGTGAGGGCCGCGTAAGCAGCGCGTGAGGCTTCGCGCAAGGAAAGTGATACGACATAGGGAGTGACTCCAGGTTTTTAGAGTGGCTCCCGTTGAGTCCCCGTTGAGTCCCCTTTAGTCCCCGTTGAATCCCCGTTGAGTTTCCGTTGAATCCCCGTTGAGTCCCCGTTGAGTCCCCGTTGAATCCCCGTTGAGTCC